CAGCGCCCCGGAGCCGCGCTGCCTCTGGCTGCCCTGCCTCAGCCACAGCGACCGCCGCGCGCCCGGGCAGCGCCCGGCCAGGGTGAGCGCCTCGGGGGGCCAACGGGGTCGCAGGCAGGGGTAGGGGTCCGGGCAGGCCTCGCCCCGGTGGGTGGGACCGGGCCACAAACTCCCTGCGTTCCTTGAGCTGTGTGCGCCCTGCGCTTGGGGACCGATCCCCTCTGGAGTGGAGAGTGAGTGAGAAGCTGGAGAGATGCAGGTGAGAGCGGCAGGCTCGTGGCTGAGAGCTTTTCCAGGGGTGCCGGATTACAACCCTCAGTCTGCTGGTGGCCTCCAGTGGGCTCAAGCCTCTTGGTTCATAGGCGGTGGAAGGATGGAAGGGACCAGGGTTGTTTGAAGAGATGCCAGGACATCGAATCCTGCAGAGTTTGGGCTGGCAGTTACCCTGAGTCAGAACCATGCAGGGGTACCCTAATGAAGCAGGAGGGGCATCACTCTGCCGTCTCCCTGGTAGGGGACCTGGGCGCAGAGACACACAAGGGTTTTCAAGCGAGCCAAGGAGGCTGAGGTGGCAGAATGGGCCCCAGCAGGTAATGAGTGATCTCAGGGTGAGGACTGACAGGGCTGGAGAGGGGGGTGGGGACAGCATTTCTGATGTCCGGGATCGACCAGGCTGGTAGGGTGTGAGTCACAGTGGGCGCCATGCCCAGCATGAAAGCTGCACTCCCTGCACTCCTCTTTATGCTTCTGGGGGAGGGGAGGAGCAGGACTCCTGGGTTCTAGTTCCTGGTGTTGCCAACCCACCACGTGTCCAGTTCTATCTAATTTGTGGCCCTGGGGTCACCTGCCCTTCCCCCACCATCAGTTGTATTTCTGGATGTCTCTTTCTTTCCTGACATGAGAGTGGGAGTGTTTGGAAATAGATCTGGGCCTGGGAGCATTAATCAGTGATTTCCCTATGTCTTCTGAAGCCTCTCACTCGCCTTCCCCTTGTCTCTGTGCCTACCTCCGACAGCAGAGTTGGGGATGTGTGTAAACTGTACCTCTTCCCAATCTAATCATTGCTGCTCCCTTCTCTATTTCTGCATCTGTCACCTCCCTCCCCTTCAAGACGAGAGCAAGACCCAGTATTGTCCCAGATTGGAGGGGAGGACAGGAGAGGAAACATGCGTGTATAACAGAGTGAAGGACTGACGTTAAAACTAAGGAAGAGTTTCCCACAGGAGAGCGGCGAAGTCTGGCCACTTATGGGGGCCTCAGTGTCTCCTCTTCAGGCAGGGGTGTGGTAGCTGTGGCGGGGGATTACCACACTGACATTCTCAGGAACCTCACTGGCAGGGTTGGGGGAAGGAGCAGTGGAAGGAAGGAAAGGAGGAAAGGAAGAGGTAGAGCTAAGGGAGGGGGCACCGGTGGTGCCTGGGTGAGGAGAGGACCTGAGAGAGAAAGGCACGCCCACTGCCCTGGATTACAGGCCCCTCCTCCAACCGCCCCAACCGCCCCCCCGGGAGTGGCACCCCCAGGCAGCTGGCAGCTCCAGTCAGGATGTGTGCTGGGGGAAAGGTGGGGGACGTGCGGGGACCTGTCCCAGCCACTTCTCGTCACTGGGGCAGCTGGTGGCTTAAACCTTAATCCAGGACACCAGCAAAACAATAGGCTGTGAACAGCCTCAGCCCAGAGCCCGGGTGGAGGGCATGCAGGGGAGGCACTCCACACTGGGGAACAGCAGGGATTTTGGTAGGAGGGGGCAGTGGAGGGTCCCCTGAGGCCCTCTTCCCTCCCTGATCAGTTCCTTGCCAGGTCTGTAGAGATAGGAAATCCAGGGGATTTCAGACCTCAGCAGAATTCCCAGAGAATTTTCTCCTCTGGGCTCCTCAGACCCCCATGGGGGTGTGGGGCTCAGTGGGAGAGTCCAGACTATAGCCACAAGTGGAAGGAGCTGAGGGGCCATCACTGGGCCTCCTGCCCGATGCCAGAATCCCAGCTAAGTCCTCCTAAGGCCTCCTGGATGGGGGTTGTCCAGCTTTTGCTTGGACCCTTGTGAGGACAGAGAACTCACAGCCTCATCCAGGTCGCTTTGCAGATGTATGTGATCATAGAGTGGTCTCCCTGGCCCAGAGCTTCACTCGGCCTCCTCGTATCTTCCACCTGGCTGTGTCCTCTGGGACTGTATCAAGTAAGCCTATTGCCTCTGTTGCGTTTTCCTTTAATCTTCTGAGATTTGAGGATATCCCCTCCCCAAACCTCCCGCCCCATGCAGCCCAGCCTCCCACCCCACGCAGGAATCCCTAGCTTAGGTCTGGGCACAGGACCTGCTGTTTCTGCCGGATGTGTGAGCAGGAGGGTGGATGGATGCATGCAGGGACTTCTCAGTACCAGTACATTTGAGTGGCGGATTCGAGCTGGGGAAGCCAGGGGAACTTAGTAGTGAAGTGGGAGCCCCTCATCCCGAAACCGATGGGCTTCATCCCTCTGCACCCAGCCGCACCTGTCTTCCCGCAGCTGAAGGCTCCTGCCTGGTGCCAAGGAGGAATGAGGGGGTGAGGACTGTTGAGGGTGGGGGAGGGGCTTCTTGCCCTTTGAGGGGTTTGGGTTAGGGGCACCAGGTAGGTTATGCTGCCCCAGATCAGGGGTTAAAGAGCCCCCGAGGGAGCCCTCCTGGCTTTTCACTAGGCAGCCTGTCCGTGGCTCCCATGTCCTCCAGTCTGCCGTCTGTCTCCCTGTGTACCCATCAGACACCCTCCTGTCACCCACTTTCCCTCTCTGTGTCTGAGCAGGGCACCTGAAGGGAGCCCCCTCTCAGGCACTATCCTTCTCTTTTCCCTCTTGCCTCAGAAACAGACCCGTGTGCCCCCAAACCCTTGTCTTCAGACACCCTCTGCCCTGTCATCTTGGGGAGTCCCAAGTATTCCGGTGCGGTGCAGCGGCCAGAGGGCAGCGGAGTGTGTCTCCCCGCCCCGCCCCCACCCGGTTCTCCACTCAGTTCCGGTGAACCAGCCAGGCCTCTGGGCTGGGCTCCGAGCCTCAGTCCCTTCAGTGGACTCTCTGATGTCCAGTCCACTCCCTTGTGGTTCACAGTCCCCCACCTGTTCCTGCTGCTGCTCCTGAAGGATGCACGTGCGCCCCGCCCCCACCCGGTTCTCCACTCAGTTCCGGTGAACCAGCCAGGCCTCTGGGCTGGGCTCCGAGCCTCAGTCCCTTCAGTGGACTCTCTGATGTCCAGTCCACTCCCTTGTGGTTCACAGTCCCCCACCTGTTCCTGCTGCTGCTCCTGAAGGATGCACGTGTGTGCCAGTCTCACTGCGCCTGTGTGTGCTGTGTGCGTGTGTCTGTGTGTCTACCTGAGTGAGCGTGTCTCTGCTCATCGGTGTGTCTGTGCACCTTTGCCACATGAGTGTGCTTGTCTGGGTGTTTGTGATGTGTCCTGTCTGCATGAGTGTGTATGGATGGGCCTGTGTCTGCATGTGTGTGCGTGTGTGCATGTGTGAGATTGGGCAGCAGGCGGGAATGAGCTCAGACAGCGGCAGGCACTTCCCAGGCAGGAAGGCTGTGTGTCCAGAGTCAGTGAATGTTGGCCGAACTGAATTGAATGGACCCGTGGCTCGCTGCACTGTTACTTCCCTGGACACAAAGGTGTTGTGAGGGGATTGAGGCAAGAAAGAAGGAAGAAGCTGTTGGGCTGATGAGGGGGGAAGGGAAGGAGGAAGGGGAAAGCAGGGGGTCGGTCAGGGCGCAAGAGGGTCCGTGCACCTGGCAGCCCCCCAGGTCCTCTGGGCTGCAGGAGGCAGTGTGCAGACTGGCGTCTCACCCTGGCTCCCTGTGCTCCCACAGCTGCCACTGGGCCCAAGAGATGGGTGCTTTCCCGGGCGCCCCCTCCCCTGGCAGGGCCCGAGGACACTGCTGCTGCACAAAAGCCTCCAGGACGGCTTTGGCTTCACCCTACGTCACTTCATCGTGTACCCGCCTGAGTCCGCTGTGCACTGCAGCCTGAAGGTACAAGTCCTGTGCCCCTGCCGGCCTGGCCTGGGAGAGCTTTCAGGGGGGATTCCTTTGTGCTGTCCCCTCTCCGGTGCTTCTGTGGCCTGGACAAGAGGGTCACCGAGAGGCAGGGGCAGCCCTGCCTGGGTCATTTGTGTGGGGTGATCGTAGACAAGCCCCCACCCGCTCTGGGCTCAGTCTTCTCAGGAGAAGGGGCTGTGGCTGGCTCGGGGCAAGGAGCTAGAGGTGGGGGAGCCGGGATGCCCCCCCCCCCCCCCCCCC